TTCTAGGGGAAAGGCTGAAAGGAAAGGAGGAGGGCAGGCTGGGAGCTCTGCTAATCACTCCCTAGGCAGCCATCAGCAGCAACCACCCTACTAGCCCAACAACTCCACAGACAGCAAAGCAACTGACTCAGACTCTCCTCATTGGCTGGCTCCCCACCCTGGCTCAGACTGTCATTGGTCAAAGTCCTTGATGTCACCTGTCTCTGAGACTCCCCTGAAAGGAGACCACATTTGTAAAGCGCCCAGTACACAAGACAGCCAGCAAATAGCAGCTCTGCCCCGTGGCCATTGGCTTTCTAAGCTGTGATGCGTCCTTAGAAAGCCCTAATGGTCCCTAATATGCTGTYCTCTGCCTGGTTACTCTCTCACAGCATTAATTTCTCTTCTAGCTTTTGTTGCCACCTCATTTGTTTTCTGCCACTAGACTAGGAGCTAGGCAAGTGATGTTCACTGCTCTATCGCCAGCCCCTCCCACACACCTGGCTTTCTACTGTGGAGGGAATGAATGAATTCTGTCATTCTGAATAAACGGAAACACACCAAGATGATGATGATGATAGCAGCTAAATTTATATAGTATACGCCATATGGTGGGTATTCTGCTAATGCTTTGTGTGATGTTTTTAATCACCACAAAGCTATTACATAAGCGTAAGTGCCATTATTATCCCCATTTTGAGGATGAGGAGACAGAGAAAACTTAAATGATTTGYCCAAACATACAAAGTAAAAGGGGTGGTATATGAACCTACTCAACCTAGCTTAAGTCTATGTGTTTTTTTTTTTTTGTGTGTGTGTGTGTTGTTGTTGTTTGTTTGTTTCTTATACTGGGGTCTGAACTCAGGGCCACATTTTCACTGAGCTACATTCCAAATCTGGTCTTGAACTTATGATCCTCTTGCCTCAGCCTCCAGAGTTGTTGGGATTACAGACTTGTGCCACTGTACCCAGCTAGTCTGTGCTTTTGACCAGATCATCAGATAATTATGGATGCCCACTCTGCACCTGGCAAAACTTGACCTGTCCGAGAAGCTTTTAGATTGATGGAGAGACAGGTTGTGAGCACCTGATGACAGCCATGGTCGCTGGTTGCTGGCCTGACCTCTGGGAAAAGCTTACTGTGAATCATCCTGCAGGTGGAAACRTGGCTCTGGTACCTAGTAAGCAGGGGAATTCACTATGAGTTAGACAGGGCGATTGTCTGCTGCCAATCAAACCTGGGCATTTATCAAACCTGGGGATCCTAAGAATATGTTCAGGGCCCCCAGGAGAACCACAAAATCAGCCCC